ACATGCTTTAAGACAATAAAGATTATTATTATTAAAAAAATCAACTTAAACGCCTGTAAGTTTTTGCCACTGTCGTTGAAGTAGCACTGTATAATCAAACCAACTCAATAATGGCATCGAAAGGGTCCCACAAAGTTGGTCTCTGAAACTAGTATTCGAGTTGAAGGATCATCACCTCTTTGTTTTTAAGTACCGAGTCCTAGCCGAGACCATCAAATTTATGTAAGAAGGAATTGGCATCACAGGGTATTTTAACTTTTACAATCAGATATTACGAATAAAGTTTTCTCTATTTGTACACTCATGACCATCAATGCGATACTCAGAACTACAATGTATGTCACATGACGAAATGTTCAGTAATATCCAAAAAGTAACTTTCATTTCGAACCCCTTGAACAAAAAACATTGCATGGGGTTTTACCGCACGTGATCATACAATGACCTATCTAGAAGAGAGACAAACATGCAAAGCTTATTTTTTTAGAGGTTTGGGGGGGGGGGGGGGGGGGGGGGAGAGATTACAACGTTTTTTTTTTTAATAGAAAAGAAAACAATTTGATTCTTTTATTTATTGAAATATGTTAGATCTCTCTTTTAACAAGAAATGAATGTAACAGGATGCTGTTACGAAGTCTCCCAAACGAAGCTCCCATAATTCGTAATTCCCAGGTTCGCCTGACATTGGGCAACATCCATTGAAAATTGGTTTGGTCCAGTAAAGTTATATGCATTAGTGATGCCTGGGGACTAACCTTGTATATCATTCAAATCATCTTGGCATGACAAACCAGAATATATATGGTTTAGGGGTGGGGATCTCAACCATTTACAAGATACTAGAATATTGGGGGTGGGGAGGAACCCCTGGGGACTGGCCCTATACGTCATTCAAATGTTCATTACATGACAAACAGGAATATATATGGTTTAGGGGTGGCGATCTCAACCATTTACAAGATATTAGAACATTGGGGGTGGGGGGAACCCCTGGGGACTGACCGTATACGTCATTCAAATGTTCGAGACATGACAAATAGGAATATATATGGTTTAGGGGTGGGGATCTCGACCATTTACAAGATATTAGAACTTTCTCAAATGACAGGGGGTCGGGATGACCCCAGGGGACTAACCCTGTCTATCATTCAAACCATCTTCGCATGACAAACCAGAATATATATGGTTTAAGGGTGGGGATCTTGACCACTTAGAAGATATTAGAACTTTCTTAAATGGCAGGGGGTGGGGGTGACCCCTGGAGACTAACCCTGTATTTCATTTGATGTGCTTTATCATGACAAACCAGAATATATATGGTTTAGGGGTGGGGATCTCGACCATTTACAAGATAATAGAACTTTCTCAAATGGCAAGGGGTGGGGGTGACCGCTGGGGACTAACCCTGTATAACATTTGATGTGCTTTATCATGACAAACCAGAATATATATGGTTTAGGGGTGGGGATCTCGACCATTTACAAGATATTAGAACTTTCTCAAATGGCAGGGGGTCGGGATGACCCCTGGGGACTTACCCTGTATATCATTCAAACCATCTCAGCATGACAAACCAGAATATATATGGTTTAGGGGTAGGGATCTTGACCACTTAGAAGATATTAGAACTTTCTTAAATGGCAGGGGGTGGGGGTGACCCCTGGGGACTACCCCTGTATTTCATTTGATGTGCTTTATCATGACAAACCAGAATATATATGGTTTAGGGGTGGGGATCTCGACCATTTACAAGATATTAGAACTTTCTCAAATGGCAAGGGGTGGGGGTGACCGCTGGGGACTAACCCTGTATAACATTTGATGTGCTTTATCATGACAAACCAGAATATATATGGTTTAGGGGTGGGGATCTCGACCATTTACAAGATATTAGAACTTTCTTAAATGGCAAGGGGTGGGGGTGACCCCTGGAGACTACCCCTGTATTTCATTTGATGTGCTTTATCATGACAAACCAGAATATATATGGTTTAGGGGTGGGGATCTCGACCATTTACAAGATATTAGAACTTTCTCAAATGACAGGGGGTCGGGATGACCCCTGGGGACTAACCCTGTATATCATTCAAACCATCTTAGCATGACAAACCAGAATATATATGGTTTAGGGGTGGGGATCTTGACAACTTAGAAGATATTAGAACTTTCTTAAATGGCAGGGGGTGGGGGTGACCCCTGGGGACTAACCCTGTATTACATTTGATGTGCTTTATCATGACAAACCAGAGTATATATGGTTTAGGGGTGGGGATCTCGACCATTTACAAGATATTAGAACTTTCTCAAATGACAGGGGGTGGGGATGACCCCTGGGGACTAACCCTGTATATCATTCAAATCATCTTAGCATGACAAACCAGAATATATATGGTTTAGGGGTGGGGATCTTGACCACTTACAAGGTATTAGAACTTTCTTAAATGGCAGGGGGTGGGGGTGACCCCTGGGGACTAACCCTGTATTTCATTTAATGGGCTTTATCATTTAGAACATTTTCAATTAAAAAGTTTGTGTCTATCACAAACGGTTTTCAATTTATAATCATTTGAAAATTTTAAAAAATAAAATCCCATAGGGTTCTATAGTAAAACCCTCTTTTCTTTTTGCCCCTCAAAGTACCCCTTTATAAACCCCATTGCAAAAACAAAACCCTGATTGCACCACTAGACATGTTAGTCTAACATATTGTGAAACCCTAAGTTAATCCGACAAGCGGTTTTGGAGAACGGGTGCGGACAAGTTCAAATTTAAAAGCGGCGGAAGAAGAAGAAGAAGAAGAAGAAGAAGAAGAAGAAGAAGAAGAAGAAGAAGAAGAAGAATAATAATAATAATAAGAACTGAGCAAAAACAATAAGTCTTCCCAAACTTCGTTTGGGAGACTTAATTAAATTCGAGAACTGCCAATGTCATACACTTTGGTATATAATAAATGCATTTCGACTAATTCCACAGCATAAATACACATTCCTGTTTTAGACAGAACTCACGAAAATAGTGCTGCCAATACCGTAATTAGGACCATCCATCAACATTTAGAACAATGTACAATTGTACGAACGACGCGACATTTCACTGAAGGTGAAATTAAATTATATTTGTAAAATGATGATGTCGGACTGCTCAAAGTTCAGTTTCCACCATACATAACAGCTGAACATATGTTAAAACTAAATACATGTATATTACGTTTTTGTATTACAACTGGATTCAACACATTAGATTATTATCTCATTATTTGATTTTAGTATACGAGGGTCTGCGTGGGGGGTCCTTAATTTTTGTATTCTTTAATTTTTTAGGCCATTATTCTCTATTCTTTATTTTCTTGGCCTATTCAATTCTTTATATTTTTTGCCGTTTCATGATTCTGGACTATGTGCCCATTATTCTCTATTCTGTAGAACCCATCCACGCCCTTGTAAAAACCTTGCGTTAGTAAGCATGCTTTGAAACAGTGAGGGCTGTCATGTTTACATTTATGAAAATCAATATTAAATCAGCTTGTTCAAAGCTCTGTCAAACTCCTTTGGAGTCAATCAGAATGCAGCGATAGTTTTATTCGGCATATTTAAATATAATTGTTTTGGTCCCTTTTGGTTTCACAGTCCCCGATGTTATAGACTGTCTCATGTTTTTGCTCTCAGCATGCATGGTAAAGATAAGTCTAGATGTCCATCAAACGAATCAAAATCGATACATTTTTGACATCAGAGGACATAAATTCCGCATCGGAAGGTTGACAAAATACCAAATTAATACTTCTTGCTTTTTTTTTAAAGAAATATTTCAAATTTGCTCATAAAAATCGTATTAGTATGCAGGGCTAAATGCCAAATAACTGCATTTATTTTGACTTTGACAAAATGCATCAAGATTAATAAAAAGGTTATTTGTTTATTTTTCAGTTTTGATTTCCTGATGATCAATCAAACGTTAAACATCTACGTCCTTGTTTACCGAGTTACAGGTGTAACACCACTAATTCGGGGCCGGCCAGAAAGCACATACCAGAAAGTAGTACATATTTAAGACAAAATAGTTCCTACGCATGGGTGTAACTTTCAAAATATGTAGTTAAGTTATGATTTTGAACAATAAAAAAAATGCATGAAATTTAAAAAAGAGGGTACATTTTGCCTGTTTGTCAGATCTGAAGTACCTGTTTTGGTATATCTGAAGTTCCGGGAACCAGTTCTTTCTTATATGCCATTAAAAGTATGTTGATTTTTTTCAGTACAAGGCACCATAAAGTTTTGCTTTGACGTGCAATGATTGTCACTTTATTTGAACTTGAAGCAAAAGAGTTGTGTCTGCTTGAAATTGGGGAATTTAACATAGAAAGCAATTTCGCCATGAATTAGTGGTGTACTTCCTACACAACTAAATGTTTTTGATCATTTAGTCTAAGGAATAACAGTACTGTAGTTGAAGAGTTGCCGCCGTCAATTGGCAATTTGACGGTCGAAAATGCACTTTTACTGGCGACGCATAGCATGTCATTTGTGGATTTGACGGTAACTTTTAGCCAATGAAAAAAAGTTTTTACATAAAGATTGCATTAGAATTACATAACTTTTGCTAGCTGTTGAATCACTAGCTTGGAATTGTATTACTTGTTAATGTCTCACTGTGACTTGTAGATGAAGAACAGCAATAAAAGCGCTGTTCCTTTGCTTTTTGTATGTTTTTTCGTTGTGCATTTACTGATTTTGTGTCATGGATGGATACCCCATATCCTTTGTTTTTCTATTATATATCATAATTTCTCAAACATTATAGGTAATATTTTCAAAAGCTTTCATTTTATATGTCCTAAATAACGGACATACAACCAATTACGTAACGCAATTTTCATTTTCGTGTACGAAAAATTAAAGTACCCATAATCCTTTAAATTCTAAAACGGCGACTTGATCGATGGTTTTTGTGAATATCCTAAAATTATGTAACCAAGGATGCGTGACACTAAAAATACTTACGGTCATCATTTTCATAGACTGCCGTCTTCTCCTGCAGTATTTACTGGCAATAAATCCAATAACAAAGAAAACAATTGCGGCTATGATGGCTACTGCAATTACAATTCCAATGGACACTTTATCACTGTCATCAGTCTGAAATTAAAGATGGCAGTTATTATTAATGAAAAAATCTCTTTTGGAAATTTATTACTCTCAGTTGGAAGTCAAAAATTCCATTTCCGTGGCTTTTCTGCTTTATTTATTGCAAACACCTGAAGGAACATGGTTTTATTGTGCCGAGGAATCCAAAAACTGAAGCTACGTTCTGAATTGAAATATTTATTATATCATAACTATGCTATGTGTATTTGAATACAGCAGGTTCGCACAGTGTGACAATGTGATTCATTGAAACAACCGTCTTGTATGTGTTTGTATAATTTATTAGTGTATTGGGGTGTTAATATCAACTCTCAGCATTTGCTTTAAAGATAAAGATTAACCTAAACATACATTGCAGCGGCGGCAATTGCAATAGTCTCTTTATAGTTTTCCAGTTTTTGGTGGTGTTCGTGATGTTCAGTCTTTAGTTTTCTATGTTGTGTTTTGCGTACTATTGTTTGTCTGTTTGTCTGTTGGTCTTTTTCCTTTTGAGTCATGGCATTGTCAGTTTATTTTCGACTTATGAGTTTGAATGCCCCTCTGGTATCTTTCGCCTCTCTGTTATAGCATTTTCCTTTAATTGTCGCTTTAAATGTTAAAGTTTCACTTGAAATAAACAAAATAAAAAACTTACCATAGCTGATTTTCTCTCCGATATAGCAGACCTCGACGGAGTTTTGTCTGAAAAAAATAAAAAATCCTTAAAAAATATTACTCTGCACCACGCCTAAAATTGTACTATCCAGTGCTTAAAACCATAAAGATGGTTTACAAAAAAATCCAATTGATAAACCAGAGATCATATCACAAATTTCCCTCAAATTTTCATATCAATATGATAGCAGAACCAATTCACGTTGAACTTGATAAAAAAGTCATTATCTGTCTTTTCAAACAACAAGTTTTTGTATTTATTTTATTAAAATCAATATTCTGCCATGTGAAATAATATTGTAGCGAATAACCTGACACTGTGCATTTTTGTTGATTGAAATATTATTCCATGTAGATTTCTTTTACTAATAATTAGATAATGAGAATTAACTGAATTAGGTGCATTGTATAGATATTTTTGTGGAATGGGGCTCCACAAGTGTATTTCTTATCTCTAAAATTCTAGAAATTTGTGTAAATTTAAGGCTCTACATGTGTTTTCATGTTGTCATATCATACGAATGCCCTTATCACAGATAGCCACTCTTGCTACGTTAAAACAACGTTTGTTTAAAATGGGTTTTTTTTTATGCACGTTGTTCTATTCCATATAAAGGTATACGCAGACGTGCCTCTGGTATGGGTCACATTGACGAAAGTATATTAAATCTATCGATGGGGCGCGATTTTACGGAGATAATACACAGTAGAAATATATGTCAACGGTTCTAAAATATTCAACTTGTGTCTGTAATAACTATGTTATTATCTTTTTATCTAATCATTATGAATGTTTCGTGTCGTGAACATCTAATTAAGGTGTCAATTGTACGTCTGATAGCTGGGAAATATGTTTATAAATGTGTGATGATTTCAAAGAAAATTAGCAAGAGGAAAGGACTTTCGAATTAATCAATATAAGAATTGCGGTGGTTTTGAAACCCAAACCGGACACCTGTGCCTATTCCGGCCCTAAAAATCATAACAAACAACAAAAAAAACGGACCCTCTTTAATCATGACTGCAAAGCAGTCCGTACCCTTTTCAAAAGGTTTTAACTTGATATCCTTTACATTCTAAAATAGCGAACGTATATATATGCGGCCTTAGTTAAACGTTTCAAGAATTTCTGGCTTGCCTGGTTGATTGTTTTGGTGCGGGTTTTGTTTAGCAAATGAAATCGATTCGTTCAGCATATTGTTCAAACTGATGGACGAATGATATACATGTAATAAACTACAATGTCTGGCAATCTTTTTAATTTTTGATTAAGAAAAGTCTCTCAAAGGCAGATGAGAGTCCCCTTATAAGAGGGTATGGATCGGTGGTCTTCAATTTTGTTTTCTATAATTGTTTCGGACATTTGTTCTCTATTCTTTAGTCCATTATTCAGTATTGTTGATATTTTGGTCATTTTTGCACCCTATTAATTATTCTCTATTTGTTTTGCTCATTTTCGTCTATTCAGCCACACCTCCCCCCCACCTACCCACACACACACACCGCCCCCGGCCCACCGTTATCTTCTTATCTGTATACAGTCACATTCTTACCCTCATAAAAGACATAGCCCTATTTTAATATTATCAAATGTACTTTGATTCCAAATTTACAAAATTTAGGCAACTACGTATCCATCTAATACGAAAATCATATTGGTGAAATCAAGTCGTCCTAAATTCGAATTTCTTTTGATCAGAATGGGGAATTCATAAACTATAATTACAATATAGACAATTTGAAGACTGTCAATAAAATGTGAATTATTTCCTAAGACAACTGAATGTGATTTTATTAAACTGCCATGGGTTTGTGGTTTAAATCAATCAAGTGAAGTCAATTAACCAATAACATTTGGCTTGACTGTATGTTTTTATTTAACGCCTATCTACAAGGTAGGTTACCAGGAGAAGTGATGGAAGATGCTTTCCATAAGCGAATCATTTTTCTTAATTTTTTTGTCGACATGATAAGTGGCACAATATAAAGAACTTTGTGCATGCACAAAAACCAGAGAAATCGTGATTTACCAAAACATCGAAAACACATACTAGTATACTTCTCCATTATAAATTACCAGCAACGAATTCGCATACTAGCAGTGAGAAAACGTATTTGAAGACAACAAATGAAAACAAACCCGACTATATTGAACCTTTCCCACCTTCAAAGATTAAAATATAAATGGAGAATGTGTCCAGGGGACACATATGATGCTCCGCATGGAATTAACGTTATAAAGGGGCATAACTTAAGAACGGTTAAAGTGACGCCACCAAATTCGAACTTGATCTGTGTTTTGTGGTAAAACGCATTGTGTATAAGTTTTATAACATTTGGTTGAGGTAAACTAAAGTTAGAGAACGGAAACTAATTTTGGGACGTACATGTACGTACGGACGGACAAGGGTATCATTTAAAAAAATATCGACAAAACATTTATATACCTTTTGGATTTGTTGTTGGTTGGTCAAGTTGGACAGGAACGTAAACATTTTCTTCATTATCTTCTTTATTCGTTTCATCTCCTTTATCTTCTGTTATCTGAAGACCAACACCAAAATCTAATTCTTTTTCTTTTTCTGTTGTTGGTTTCAGTGTAGTACTTGTTATAACTGGTACATTTGTTGTAGGTTTAACTGTAGTTGTAGTGGAAGGTTCAGTTGCATTTTTGAATGTTGGTGCTTTTTCTGTTGTTGATTTTGAAATCGTTGTTGGGTTGACCGAAACTGGTATCAAATCCTCATCTGATACATTGTGAGGTGGTGGGGGTTTTCCTTCAAGAACTATTTGATTCGATGTAGGAATATCTAAAATAACCTCACCACTCCCTTCCGTTTCATTTTCGGGAGCAATCAATTCACCGTTTATGACACTTACATTTTGAGGCAAAACCACAAAAGAATCGTCAGAACCAGACCCGGTTTCTTCTATGTTATCCAACTTAATACCGTCCCCATTTAAATTTAAATTTGACAGGGGAACCTTTAAACAAGATGTCTTAAAACTTTCAGTATCTGCCTCTATGTCACATGACTGACACTTTGTGTCACTGATGGTGGAACATAGAGCATCTGGATATGTTCCAGGCGAACATACGGAACACACAGTACATACTGTATTTAAATTGTCATTTTGAGACATAAAATGTCCGGATACACACGGTGAACATACTGTATCATGATCCTCATTACATATCTGTTTTACATAAAATCCTGCTTTACATTTTCGGCAGTTCGAAGGGAGGTCTGAAGTCCATACTTCACTGTACATCTGTGGAAAGAAAATTAGTTCATATTTTATTGTATATAATTAAAATAAAATTTATACTTTTATTCAAATTTTATCAATCAAATCTTAGTATATATCTTGCAATTTTGGCTAGCAAGGCTTATTTAGGCCAATTAAAATTAATTGATAGATTTTCATCCCCGCCCGCCCCTCTGAATTCGTCCCGCCCAGATTTTTTTTATTTTAAAAAATTTACAATTTCCGGATTTTGTTCATTTCCGTTACCGGTAACCGCTGATAATTTCGGAAAATTTCGGGTTTCGTATTTCCTCGAGTAACTTAACCAAAATGATTTAAGTCGACATATTCTGCTGCTCTATGATGGCAACATTATCTTCCGAGAATAGAGATTGAATACGAGAAGGGCATGAAATATGCCGTTTACGAGTATTAGGCGGTGTCCAAGAACGCAAATCGTGATATGTCACAAATTTCTGGGATTAGAAAACCCGGTGGATTTTTTTATTTATACAGTGACTTTGTGTCAGGAAATTTGGACTGTGAATGATATCCAAAGCGCAAGAATTGTGGAACACATTAGTACAAAAATCAATACTGGAATAAAGAAATTGACACAATCACGAACTTGTGCGATATATGACCGTATATTGAGTACAAAAAATCGGTCAATGTACAAAATGTATTGTAGCAAGCCCTTAGATTTACCCCTAGGCTGTCGTTTTATTTTTGTCGACAAACAGCAAACACCCTCTGTCCCCAGCCCCCAATAGAGTCAATAAACAACTTCTTTTTGGTTAAGTTCATGTTCCACATTGTAATTATATTTGCACCTTGCATAAGAATCTTAAACGCATATAAACCTTAGTATTTTCAACACAGGTTGAGTTTTCATTTCACTCTGTACTCATAATACTTGTGTTGCATACCAATGCATATGCTTCATTTTATTGGCACTACAAACCATAGCCGAGAAAGCAAAATAAATTTGGTGTCAGTCTAAAAGAGAGCATTTCTCAGGCCACATTTTTGCTATTTACTACAAATAGGTTTCTAAAGCGGTAATTACATGTAGAACAGTAGTTGCCAATCAGAAATATTTATTTAAGAATTTGAAAAATTATGTATGATTCCTTATATATATATTATACATGATAGAAGCTTATTAATATTACCCTTGCATATGGAGAACATGTCACAAAAGGGTTTCGTAGGAAATAAAAATAAAAATATAAAATCCTCCCACCCGCCCCATTTTTTTCAAAAATCTGGATGAAAATCTACTTATTAATTTTAGTTGGCCTTACAATGAAACATATCGTAAACAAAACATTGCGTGTATTTTCACTAGGGACATCTGATCATAACTTATTGAAAATAGAACTTGTTCATCATATAATCATGCAAACAACATATATTCGTTTTCATTTTTAATCTGTATTGAAGTTGTATCCCCTCCTTCATTGTCATTTAAATATAGAAAAAAATAGAAAGAAATATGAAAAACAATATTGATATTTGATACAATTTGTCTAATGAATGAGAAATTCTTAACCCTAAAATTTAACCTTTTTGGGATCTTTTACTTTTCGACGTTGGATGTAACTGCATTAAATTTAAAACTTAATCAGTTCATGCCATTTCAATGTTATTTTTTAACGTAGTGTAAGTCTTATCACTTACTATGATAAGTAAAATTACAAAGCACATTAGTATTGTTTAGTATTTAAGGTCATTGAATCTGGAACCAAATATAATATCTCAAATAAAAACGTCTCAAATGACAAAATGATCTTATGAAAGGTCACCTAATTCGTGTATTTTGACATTTATGTACAAATAAATATGTCATAAACAGGTTTTTTTTCAATCAATGCCCTATGCATCATTTAATATAAGAATTTGACGCTTGAGTAAACATGACAATCGAGGAAACAACGTCTTAAAGATATTAATATCGTTATAGAAATCATAAAAGTGACTAATTGTCATTTTATTCATAAACATATATTACGCATAACTAATAAACTAAAAAATCTCTTCGTAATACAATAAAAACATGAATAAATACAAAAATGTCCGTAAGGAGATAAACGTCGAATGAATCAAAATGCAACGTTTGGTTGGGTACGACTCGCACGTGTCTTAATCCAGATTTCATTCTTAAATATTGCCGGGATGATTACTTGATTTATACAACACAGCCTCATTTTCGACATCTGATTCACCTCTGACATCTGAAAAAAGTTGACGATTTTTTATTAAGAGATTATCGGGGTAAAATTTGATTTAATGACCAAAAATCCCGTTGAAGGGTCTCATGATTAGATAAACACCAAAACCCAACTAGATAGGAATACCTTTCCCTCATACGTCCCTCAACATTCGATGTTTTTCACAAACCTACTGTCACTGCGACTTGTGATTTCTAATTATCAATGGCTGAGGTTAAATTATCTTAGAAAGCATATATACTGTTGTAATACATCACTCTCGTTTAAGTCTAAAGTCACGTTTTTAATCTCGATCGCAAGACTAGCACACTCAATGCGCAAATGTATATATATGTAGTAGTATCATTTTACGAATTATTTTACTATCACTATTTATGATCAAGGGTTACATTCTGATTTAGTGTATCACAATGAGCATTACATTTATCGTCCTTCCCTACGCCTATATCACCCTGTCAAATCGCTCCGTAATTCTCGTATCACGGCTTTGGGAAGAGTGCAGGCATTATCATCGACGTCACAATGTGTAAGGAGACGTTATCAAGCTTGCTTTCGTCAAGCGTAAAACTGTCTTAGGGAGGGGGAAAAGACCAGTAATAGAACGATAAACAGTTAATCGGGTTAATATCAACAGCAGTTCGCTGCGCTCGCTCGCCAAAAAGGTTCACATTGTGGCTCGAGCTCGCGGCTGATATTTTACGATATCAATGGAGTAGAAACCCCGATAATCTATACATATACGTAACATTTGAAAGAACTTACTGAATGTATATATATTATTTATTTCGTAGATGAGTTCACAGCAATAAAGAGTATTGTATTTTACTAATACAAAATGTGATAATGTGTATTTTAAGATACTTGTGTTTTATAAAACAGAACTGTTATTCATGATTTTGATATTGTTATTTCAGAGTTTATTTCTAAACTGGTATTAAATCATTCTGAACCCTAGAACAGAGTTGTTTATTTATCCAAGATACGACCCAGTTACATATATGTCACGATACTGTTTGCTACAACCCACCGATGCTCATTTAAGTTCATATATTTCAGTCTTGGTGACCTAGTGTTGATGGATTGCTGTCGCATTGGTGCTAATCTTGCATCATTATCTTTAATTAGAAAAGTGTTTGATGTGGCAAAAGAATGATATTTGTTCCTCTCACATTTTAAATTTGCGCAGCAACACATTGTATTCCTTTTTCAACCTTCAAAACATCATAAATGCAGATATATACTTTCGTTTTATCTTGTTTGCATTAACTAATTTGACACAACACGTGCTTAAAGTAGTTGTTTTCTAACATAAAAGTCTCAATTGACCTTCATGACCTTAGAGTAAAGGAACAGATTAAATCTGATAAAAAAAAATAATTTTCAATTATTTGGTTTCTTGGTCATTATGGGCATCTGTCTTGACAAGGTATTCTAATAAAACACATTTTTGTTATGGTTCATTGCAAACAACGTATAAATCTCAAAACTTAAGTGGTCAGATGGTCAGTTATAATGTATCTTGATACATGTTTAGCGACATCTGTATCAACATCAAAGAAAACGTTGAAGCTTTAAGTTGGAAAAAAACAGTGTTGAAAACGTGCAAGCGACCCCAATCACGATTAGATCTAGGTACGAAAGCTATTGAAAATGAAAGAGAAGTATTAATAATTGCTGCTGCTAAGCGATGGTGATAAATTATCCAGCGTCTATAACAATCACAATGTCTTTCCTGGAGCAAATAATTTTAGTATTCTTCAAGAAAAATCAATCTCTTTTTTCTTCTTTTTCAATTCAAAGTTTCCGTACACAAACTAATTAAATTGTTGTTTATAGCAATAAAACTATATATATTTTTTTTTGCAATACTACATAATGTCAATAAAATAAAATAATTTCTGATTTTGATCAACCATTTCCTGTTGTACAGATGTAATATGGGAAATTTGATTGATCGATATTAGAAATTGATGGTTTTCATTTTAATTAGCTGTATGTTGTATTATAGTGCAGCAATTAAAAAAAAAAGGGTGAATTTTAGTCATTTTTTATATAATTTTACTCTCAGCTGAATCATCATGACAATTTAAATAAATGATGACTAGTGAAACAGTTTTGACAACATCTACAGCTTGCTTAAAAATAGCATTGCACATTCTTGATGATTGTACTGTGGTGTATTTTGTCACTAGTTCTCAATCTTTTACGCGACAACTACAATGTTCTTTTATTCATATAATGAACTTTAAGTGTTATTTGTAATCAGGCTTTTATTATTTGCAATTGTCATGCTAATTTTGCTAGTTACTATGTCACAGACAGGTCATTTATTTTTAAAATCCTCTTGCAATCAAAAATATCAAATGGTCGTCCCCTGAAGAATTATGGGTAATCATTGATGTCGTACCCCCAGATGGAAATTACACAACGTCATTGGTTGGATAGTTTTCAGAGTCTCTTTTTGGAAATTGTTCTATCCATGTCAAAATCTAAGTTTATGCAAAACCAAAGAATTTGAATATAAATGAGATTTCTTAACACACCTCGAGATCTTTTCACCATTTTTTAAATACATGTATTCAGTTCTGCAAATCTATTAGCTGCTGAAGACTTTTGACTATGCCAACCTTGTCCTTTGACCTTCGGTGGGTATTTGTGTCATTGACAATAACCAGTGGTACGTTCAATATCATAGCTGCTACGTAGGGCTACATAGATTTCGACTACTGAACGAAGGGGTGTCCAAGTAATCACATAATCACATTTTTTTTGCCAATATAATCACATAAT